TCATTGAGGAATGTGAAGCTGGACCTAGTGCGTCAAATGTAAATGATGAATTGGAGTCCGATTTTGAACCTTACTCCCCAAATCAAATTCAGAATACAATCCGACTTCATCAAGTGAATCTCTGATAGCGATACTGACCTAAATAAACTCTACATCAACAATATCTATCCAATTAGATAGTATGGAAAAACGCCAGTAAAAACAGACAGATCTAGAAAAAGAATGCGTAATCCACAAGTATGGAAAAGGAGTGTTGCTAAGCTAAAAAGGCAACAATGTGAAATGTATATTTCTGCTACGGGTAAATATATAACAGGAATTGCAATGAAAGATCCGTGTCCAATTAGCTGTAGACGAAAATGTAGAGGAAAAGATCTCGCACGAGGAGAGGCTGATGTTTTTAGGAGATACTATGGACTCGAATCGTATGAAAGAAAAAGGGATTTTATCCACGGCCAAACCGAGAAGACAACAAAAAAAAATGCACACTCAGGAAAACTCAAGACGTAACAATACGATAACGTTTTTCTTACCACAAAATACTAAAAGAATTCAGGTGTGTAAAAACAATGTTTGTTAACACACTTGGAATTAAAAAAGGGGTCATATATATTGCCATGCAGCATAGAACAAACGAAAATACAAGTTTAGAGGACAAAAGGGGTAAGCATGTAAAGAAGGTCACACAACCCGAAACATTAGAAAGTGTAAGATGTCACATAGAGAAGTTCCCAGTTATGTCTTCGCATTACTGCCGTGCAAAATACAGCGAAAATATTTATCTTCTGATTTAAATATAACTCTAATGTACTCGATGTATAAAAAATAACTCAATGAGAAAAATCAAAAAGTTGCTAGTGTTTCTATTTATAGGAAAGTCTTTACTGAAGAATACAACCTTGGGTTTTACCGTCCAAGAAAAGATCAGTGCCGCATTTGTATGGCTTATAATATCTCTACAAATGATAAGACCGCCCTGAAAACTCAATATCAAGCACATTTAGTAGCAAAAGACAGAGCTCGATATGAAAAAAAAAAGATTACGAAAACAGATGGCAAAAACTCTAATGGAAAATTTGTTAGTTGTAATTTCGACCTTCAGCAAGTTCTTCCTTGACCCATTGATCCTACCAATAACGCATTATTTTATAAACAACATCTGAAGACTTTCAATTTTACTATCTATGATGTTGTTTCGAAACAGGGAGATTGCTTTATGTGGACATAAGTTGAAGGTAAACGTGGCAGCTGTGAGATTGCTAGTTGTCTTTACCTTCAAATCTTTACCTAATTCTGTTGAACAAATTTCGTGTTTTATAGTGACAGATGTGGGGACAAAACTTAATAAGTTTGTGGCTGGCATGTGTTTAACGGCTGTACAAGAGATTCCACACGTGAATAATATAGATCTCATGTTCTTAACGGTGGGACATAGCGAAATGGAGTGTGACTCTATGCATTCAGCAATTTCTACGGAACTAAAACGGGTTGGTAAAGCAAACTGGCCTCAAGACTGGAAAACTATTGCTAGGTGCGCTAGACGAAAGGGTGATAAACCGTATATTGTACACGACTTAACACAGGAACAAATACTTGACTGGAAAACTCATGCAGAACGGAATATGATTTTTAGAAAGGAAGATGAGAACCGCCAACCATGCGTTGGCAGAAAATGTATTGGATGCATGTTTCTTAAATCAACCCCTTTTATTCTTAGAGATTTAAAGAAAAATTTTAGGACGATTTCAGAATTCTAAACTGCATAAGGAAAACTAGAGCTACTTCACTAAATTCTCTGAGACACTTGTGTCAATCTAAAATACCAATTCAGTTAGCAAAGTATAATGATCTTACATCACTCTTTCACATGAATCCTCCTGCACTTTCAAACGAATATAGACATTACTACGAAACCCCTCCCTTTTGTGGGGGATACACGCGGAAAACATAACGCAATTCTGAAAGTGAAATAAGCAATAGTGAGTAACTTGTGTTTTCTATAATTATTATATTAATATATCTATAAATGTATCTTGTACTACTTTGAACTAATAAACTTATTTTTATTTTTATAAAATAATATTTATTAACGTATTAGAACCATATATGTCGATTTTTGTCTATTTGTCCTAGTGCTACAAGTGGAATCTCGCATTTTATTCAAATTTGTTTAAAAAAAATTATAATTATTTTTGTTGTTACCAATAAAAAGATTTTAGCTCATTCAATATACATACTATCATTTTAGAACAAAAGGCACAAGTTCTGCATCATTTTG